GGGAGGGAATGGGAATAGGGAGGAATGGGAGGGAATGGGGAGGAATGGATGGGAATGGGGAGGAATGGGAGGGAATGGGGAGGAATGGGAGGGAATGGAGATGGGAATGGGGAGGAATGGGAGGGAATGGGGAGGAATGGGAGGGAATGGGAATAGGGAGGAATGGGAGGGAATGGGGATGGGAATGGGGAGGAATGGGAGGGAATGGGAATAGGGAGGAATGGGAGGGAATGGGGAGGAATGGGGAGGAATGGGAGGGAATGGGGGAATGGGAGGGAATGGGAATAGGCAGGAATGGGAGGGAATGGGGAATGGGAATGGGAGGGAATGGGAATGGGCATGGGAAGGAATGGGAGGGAATGGAGGAGACCGGGAGGGAATGGGGGGGAATGGAAGGGAATGGGGAGGGAAAGACTGGGGGGGATTTGCAGGGAATGGGGGGACTGGGAGGGAATAGGGGGGAATGGGGGGACTGGGAGCACTGGGATGGGGACACTGGGGACATGGCGGGGTCAGAACCCCTGTGCGGGAGGAGAGGGCACAGGCGTGTGCGGGACACGCGTGTGTGCAGGGGACACGCGTGTGCGGGGATGGGGACATGGGGACACACATGTGTGCAAGGGACACGTGTGTGCGGGGATGGGGACATGGGGACACGCATGTGTGCAAGGGACATGTGTGTGCATATGTGTGTGTGCAAGGATGGGGACACACGTGTGCAAGGGACACACGTGTGCGGGGATGGGGACACACATGGGTAAGGGACACGCGTGTGTGCAGGGGACACGCGTGTGCGGGGACGTGTGTACATGTGTGTGTGCAGGGATGGGGACATGGGGACACGTGTGTGCAGGGGACACGCGTGTACATGTGTGTGCAGGGATGTGTGTGTGGGGACACGTGTGTCCTCTTGTGCATAGGGACACGCGTGTGCGTGGTGACGATGGGGACACACGTGTGTTGGGGGGACATGTGTCCGCATACAGGGGACACGTGTGCGTGTGGGGACACGCGTGTGCATGTGGGGACATGTGTTGTGTGGGGGACACGTGTCCGTGTGCGGGGGACACACGTGTGCTCCATGTCCCCACCATGTCCCCACCATGTCCCCACCATGTCCCCACCGTGTCCCCACCGCCCCCACC